AAAGAGCTAACTAAGACTGAAGCTGTTAAATTCCTTGTGAAACATAATATATTTAAATTTACATTCAATGTTCATTATGATTGTAAATAAAAAAAAATCTTTGAAATAATATATTTATTTCTTTAAACCTCAGTAACATTTATCTTTCTATCGAACGATTAACTTTACTTTAAATATTTGTAGAAAAAATTCAACGCATTGGATTATCACATAGAACGCTTTTTGAATTTCGTATGCGAATAAAAGTTTGCTCGCAGTTAGCAGCGTACTAGGCATTCGATTTGTAATACCTCAATTAGTCATTGAACTTTAATCTGAGCTCATAAAAAATTAATTCTATTTTTACAATTCATTCAAGTTTGATTTCCCTCGAGTCTGTGAAAAAAAAACTGCGATTACATCAAAATTTGCTTTTGTATTGTTTTTGCTTCGCTTAATTTATGCGAATTAAAAAGAAAAAACTTGTATATAATTTATGTCACTTGTGTATTTATGTATTCAGGCGTTTGATTACAACAAAATGTTTTCAAATATTCGTTTTTTTTTGCTCTTGTTGTTGTAATTAACAAAAGCAAATAGATTTTTGTTATTAATAAATGCAATCGTTTACAGCAATTGGTTTTCATTCCTTATACAAACAAAAAGACAGCGCGCAGTACTTTTTGCATTTTATTCAATTAATCAATAAACAAATGCACATAATTGAATGTCATTCTTTGGGTGCTACATTCACAGCCTAACAATTATTCATTAGAAATAACATTTTTGTAATCGGTCATCGGAAGCTCCCTAGTTTTAATCGAGTTTTCATATTCTTGTCTTCTCGTCAATTTATTCATCTTGGATATTTCAGTTAGTTCGATTACATTATTCCCGGTTCTGGCACTCGTGTCCATTTTAATATCTCCTCCATGTTCTCTTTTAATGCCTGCCTTCAAGCGTTTCTGATTCTTATTAAACATCCCACAGCTTTTTTACGGTCTCTCCAAATGTTTTGCAAGCTGTTTGAGTTTTTTTTTTATTATTTACTGACTCAACCCGCACAAAGAGAAGCAAAGTGAAAAGAAATAAAACGTTGTCTTCCATTTCAATTTCTGGTGAAATGGTTGATTGTGCTCAACAAAAGTTGTTGTTTATAATTCCAAAGACAAACGACTTAAGAATTGGTTTTCAAAAATAAAAAATAAAATTGCTTTGTTTCTTTTGCGTTATAGATAAATAGGTGTATAAATAGCAAAAATTAAGTTCAGGATTTGTGAGTAATAAATAAATTACTGATATATAGTTTCGAATTTTAAAATAAATTTCCCATGTCCAGTCATCAATACGCAAAAATTTCAGCCCAAAATGATTCATGTTGGACAATAGAAAACTTCAACTCAGAAATGAGCGACAAAAACAAAAGCAGAGAGGAAGCAAGTAAAGAAAGAATAAAGCGACAGCAAAAAGTGCCACCAAAAAAGTTGAAGCCAGGCCGATAAGTAAAACGAGTATTTGTGCTTAGTAGTTGCTGCCGTCTGTATCTGTATCTGTGTATCAGTATCTGTATCTGTATCTGAAACTGTTGCTCTTGCTGTTTTTACGTGTTGTAGTTGTTGCGCTTCCGCAGTGGCTGGTCACTTGGTCAAGACTGAGGCAGAGGCGCAGCAGGCGGCAGGGGGCAAATAACCGCAGTCGAAGACGAAGCCAGTTGCCAGATAAGCGGAGCGTGTGAGCCAACGACCAAGCTGCCGGACGCTGTATCTTTGTATCTGTATCTGTAGCTGTTGGTCGGCGTACTGTGATTATTGGCGCTACACCCATATGCATAGATATGTTGCCCTGTTTGTTTACTACGAACGCCGACGATATTCAAGACGTTGACCCTTCCGTTCGATCCAACAAAAAACATTTCGTACACAATGCGAATTTTTCGTTTGGTTTTTTTGTTTTTTTTCTACTTTTTTTAGATTAGCCGGCAACGAGTGGATTAACCGGTTTTCACTTGGTTTATTGTTGATGTTGTCTCTGTTGTTGTTGTTGTTTTGGTTGCTTCACACTGCTAATTAGCTGAGTAGTTGTAATGGTTGTTGTTATTCGGCTAAGAGCTGCCCGCCCGTGTTTTGTAAGGCTTGACCAACAAATTAAGGCAAGTGGCTTTCAATTGCCATACAATATCATTTGTTTAGTATTTTTATATGGGTCTGAATTGTTTCAGAAATTTGAATTAGAAAAACGTTTTTGTGGAAGAAAAGTATTTTAGATATTTAACATCAACTTATTAAATAACTCCAAACATGGTGAAGTCGAAAAAATCATTATATTTTATTTTATGTTGGGACAATAAGGATTGAGAATATTTGGCGAATATGAATCCTATCTGGAACTAGGAACTATAGTTCTTTATATTTATTATTATATCATATTATATATAAAACAAAATTTTTTTACTATTTATTTTAATAAATTAAGTGCCCGACCTCGAGCTAGTAAATTAAATATTTAAATAATAGAAGCTTTTTTTTCGAAAGCCATTATAATCTTTAAAATATAGCGTATTAGAAAAATTAATTTATTTCTATTTTATTTAATGACTTCCAAAAAAATGATAAGCTCTAGAATATTAGATTTTTGTAGTTGAACAAGCTTTATTAAACAAGAAACTACTGATTTATTTATTATATATATATATATATATTTATATATACAATTATATATACAAGTATACACACACATTTCTTTAATTTACCCTCCAACCATTGCCACTTCACTGTGCACAACAATTACAACCACACAAAAGGCACAATAATACAGATAGAATTTCGGGGGCTGTGGAACTGAGGGCGTTACGAATGGCAAAGACCCATAGACAATAACATTGAAATAAATGCTCAATCATGCAGAAATTAAGTTAACATTTTCATAAAAGCAGCAGCACAGTACAACAAAAATAATTACGCACACACACACACACACACACGATGAAAATGTAGAAAATGTGGGGTGGGGTGGGGTGTGGGCGTCGCCTTTTTGGTACTCTTATCATTTTAGTACCCACTTTCCTAATTATTTGCCATTGTCCTTTATTCTTCTTTTTCACAAATGGCGGCTGCATTTAATCGCTCTACTTATTTATGTGTGTGCGTGTGTGTGTGCGCGCTAGAAGAGATTTATGTGGGGAATTACATTTGCTTGGGGGTTTGCCCATATGGTTTAAAGTGTGTAAGAGTGTTAAAAGTGTTTTCTTGTATTATATATTGTTATATTTAGCTATATATCCAGCAACTTATTGCAGAATCAATCGGCGATGCATTTCTGTGTGGACTGAATTCCCCTTTTAAAGAGTGTAGGCATTTATTGACTTACAAAATTTGTATATTTGCAGTTGTATTTGTGTATATTGCAACGATAAGACTTTATTAGCTTTATAGCAAAGCGCATTACTAACAATTCTCGCCAGAAAGTGTGCATATCTTCAAAGATGCAAGTTGTGGACCAAGATCTTTAGGCTGTGCTTAGCTCTGATTCGATCATATTTTATTGTAGCTCCAACGGCCTATACACAATCCTCATATTCATGCTATTTTCATCGAATAAGATTCTTTATTTTAGTTTCGCTGGGTATCTTCGATTCTATCATAGTACATGAACCTCATATTCAAGTTATTTTACCCATCGTTAAAAGTCCAACCTACGCCCATTGATTTTCACCGAATAAGATTCTTTTATACATAAATCTATTTACAATTTTCTTTATTTTCAGTTTTAGTCTTCTTAAATAAAAAAAAAAAATAAAACTGAACTTTATTTTCAAGACAAAGAACTTTGTTGCCGCAACAAAATTTACAACTTTGAAAACGTGCTCCACAATCAAGGTTCAGTAGATGCTTTGAAAGTCTTTGAAGTGAAACAATGGATACGTTTTGTTCAGCCCGCAGGTGTCAAGGTCTTGACAATAGGAACCAGTTGTGATCACCAGCTAATACATATTCATATACCTATCTAGTATATATTCCAGCTAACTCTTCACAAACATACACATAACAAAGCGCAAACAGTGTGAAACTGAAATTCGCACAAAGTCGACTTTAAGCAGCGCTTTAAATGAGTCATGCAAGAGTTGTGGATGCGGAAATCTTTTTTGACGACAACTTGAAATATTTTCCACTGAGTTTGAGGCGAGCTGAAATGATATCGCACTGCTGCGATCTTTAAATTATTGCTAAATCGAAAGTTATATCGATTTATTACTATACAATATAAATTAAAACTTTAATGATAGGACTATATACAATGTGCAATTAGGTGGAGACTTAAAACAACTCAAAAATAAGTAAAGTTCGATGATCCCAATATCGATGTTTTCCTTTTCAATTTGAACATCGATAAAACTCGCTTATCGATATACATAAATATCGGCTAAATCTAATAAAAGGCGAAACCTCCATTAGCGATAAGGTAGAACTATTATCAACAAGTGTAAATTGGGATAATATATATAAACATAATCCAATCATTTATAGCAATAACACGAATACTCGAATTAAGATTTAGATTATTTATAATCGTCTGTTTTATAGGAGATTTCTTTTTAATTTAAAAATAATACAAATTTTTGGTAGTTCCCTTAAATAACAATCAAATGTTCTAAACGTAGCTTTTCTCTAGATAAAATTCGTAGGCTTTTGTTTAATTTTTTATTTTAATAAAGAAATAAGAATATTTCTAATGGTATAATAGAATAATAGCTTCCAATTCAGTTCCAATTTATTGATGTTCTAAATACTGAGCGAAAATTCACACTAATTTGACAACAATAAGAAAAACAATAGTAATAATTTTAATACAGTGAAAACTCTCATTACGGACACTACTTTTAGGCGGACACCCTTCTTGGGTCACATACAAATACCTCTACTTTAAGACATATAAACCTCTTGAGCGGAGTTCTTGTCCGCCCAAGCGAGTTTTCACTGTAATAGGCAACATTTATAAATTATAATTAGACTGGCAGCACTTACCATTTACGATGATAATGAAAATGATCGACATGAAAACCATATTTAATCCACATGTTGATGACATTATACGCAAATGGAATCCAACGTGTCGAATGCTGTGAAATCCTTAAGTCTTGTATTTGTTGTTTTTAAATATTGGCAGTAGGTTTTTCTATTTTTTGATCGTTTTGCCGAATCTTAACTAACTGCAACTATTTTCCATTTAAAATTTACTATTTCGAACACACGCACACACGCACAGACAGTGGCCATAAAATTTTACAACACTTTTTGTACGCACGACGGAGCGCCCACTTTATTATTATTATATTTTTACTATTTTATTTTTATGATTCTTTATTTAATACGATTATATTTTAACACCCGTCACGTACACTGCCAATTTATATGTATTATGATTTACGATTTTTATGCATTACTTTTCACTTTTTGCTTTTATTTTTGCGCGTAAAACATAAATGAAAAGAAAACGAAAAACCGAATGAAAAAATTTCGCAACGCGTCCAAAACGAAATTCACAATTTAAAATTATTAGCGGTGCTGTTGTTGTTGTTGTTTTATTTGCCAAGCGCTGTTATTGTAGCATTGCTGTAAAATAAGACGAAAAGAAAGAAGTAAGTGGGGAGCAATGAGAATGCAGCAGCTGTTGCTTGCGTGAGTGTGTTTCGAGTATTTTTGTTGTTCTTGTTTGTCTCAAGTCGGCGACTAAGCGCGTTGCGGGAAAGAGAACAACATAAACTGTGAGCATTTATGATCTTGTTCACACACACTCAGCCACACATGTATGCATATTAACGTTATTTGCGGCTGTTTAAATATTTTATAAATTCGTATTGGACAAAAATAATGCACACAACCCCCCCTCCCCCTTGTCTTAACATACACAAAACGAAGTACTGAGCATAAAAACTTGAATATAAATCACTCACAAACACAACTCAAAACGCACTCAACATAACAGACTGAGCGCGCGCACAATGGAAAAACTCAAACAAGTAAGCGTGAGAGCAGGTAAACGAGAGAGCGCACACTCACTGCAATTGCATAGAATTTTAATGTTATTGTTGATTGCGCTTGTATTTTGTTATTGTTGATGCGGCGGCATAAACAAACGAGGAAATCAACACAGTAACACATAAACAGCAACCGCTATAAACAAACATATTTATTAAAATGTTTGGCCCTGTTTTAGTATTTTCTTTATTCAAATTTCATTTGCATTTCACAGTTTTATGGTGCTAATTAAATGTTGTTATGCCGCGGTTCTCATTGCCTGCTTCACACACACACACACACACACACCAGCGCACATATTTCTACACACACGCAAACTCACACTTGCATACTTACATGTTTGCTTATGCTTTGTGTATGTTGTTCTCTTCTGTTGTTGCTGTTTTTGTGCGCGCATTAAATGCGTTGAAATGCAGCCATTTTGTCTTGCAATTGGCACTCACGCTCTCCGGCTGTCGCGCTATTGTGAAATTTTTGTGAGTTGTTAACACAACAATTGCTATGATACCCGTTGCACATTCATATTATTGGATTCTATTTAGCGCTTTTATTAATTTGTTAAGCCAACACATGCACACACACACACTCACGCGCGACGCAACGACGAATCACCCACGGCTTTTTTCGAGATTTTTTCCGTACCGACGCACGACCTACCCGTTCAATGGTCTTTTTTGAACTCAAGAGCGAAAGAAGAACACAAACAGTTTACCCTCCATCTATGTTATTGAACAGTTGCCTTTTTGAGTTTAACATCATGTTAGCTCACTGTAAGTTGGAGAGCATTGCAGCTGGAGCCTATCGAAATTATATTGTCTGCTTTTGCAATGGTCTTCAATAATAAATTGGATGCTAAGGAGTGAATTTCATTTTTTCTATAAGTTTAGAACTAGAGCTTGTTGGGCATTAATTGAGACTAACAGAGGTGATCTTTCCGGGCAACTTCTTTTGCCGGCGGCATGTGTTGCTTGAATTATTTTGGTAATTTTCATGAAGCCGCCTACGGTCACACTACAATTGTCGAACAACCCTGTTAGTATTAAACAAAAAATTTGAGCAGCTTGGCGTTGTATATTAATAATTAAAAATTATAAACTAAACGCTGGTGCTGTATTAACAAAATTTTGCAAAATATACTTCAACAAACTACAAGATGGCCCAAATTTGGATGGACGAGGAAAATGCTGGTGCACATAGTAAGTGATTGGCACCAAGTGCATATGATAATTATTTTAAACAATATAAAATATTTAATTTCCTGCTTGGCGCGCAGTGCTGCCCAGATCCGCGCGCAAGGCCATGGGCGACAATACGCTGCAGCAATCGGGCAAAAAGAGCGTTCTCAGCAAACTGGACAACGTAATGTACAACAAACCGTATCTAACGCCATTTAAAGGCGCCCACACAAAATGGCCCTTGAGCTGCGCGCCAAAATTGTCGCTGTGCAAGGAGACGCTGCAGAAGCAACATCGCAGCAGGCAGCCCAACAAGGAGTCGCCGCAGCTGTTGGAGGCGCAATTCAAGGCGCCGCAATTGAATGCTGCCAATGATCTCTATGCCAAATCTGCCGATCCCGCCAATGGATTCGATCTATTCGACTATATGGATTTTCCAACTGCGAAATGCATGAAAAACTGCCAGAAACGTGAGTTTGCCCTTAAAATTTTCAAAATTTCAATATTACACTGTGCTTACATAACTCGCAACAGAGTTGTTCTAGAATTAATATAATTTAGAAAACCAGAGTTGGCAATTTAGCCATTTTCTAGCTGTATTTGGCTGTTTTCATTAGTCAAATTGATTTAGCTTTTTGTTTATAGCCAATTTGTGCTCAGAAAGCTTATTTAGCTATTTTTAAAATTGGAGTCAGCTTGTTTTTGGCAGCAGGCTGAGAGAAGAAAACGACGTGCAGAATACCCTGTAATCTTAAAAAGGTGTGCGGCTAGTTGGGACAGAGGCTTAACTGGTTAATAGATAAAAATAAAGTTAATAAATATTACAACAAACATAATTCAACGAGTATTAAAAGCGGAAAGATTGATAAGCAGGAATCTACAGGAATATGATATCAGCCGGACACCAGGATTTCAAGGAGAGTAAATAATCAAGAATTGTTTCTATACAGATTAAGTTCTGTCTTGATAAATTGAATATTTAACCAAACTCAAACATAGATGGAATTAGGATAGTATTTTTTCTCGCGCAAGGATTGCCAAACTGCTTGGTCCATCTCTTAATGAAACCCAGAAAAGTCCTGACCTTATTGACGACAATAAATTCAAGAGTCGACTTCAAGTTCAGGATGAAGAAAATCATCTACGCTTCTTACCTTACCTTTAGAAAGGTTTAGATAACAGGAAGTCGTATCTTTACAACATGAGCTAATCTCGTACATTGAATACCCTTGAATCCGCTTGCTGGATTTCAGCTCAACATCAAATTCAAATCATCATCATTCATATGTTATTCACATTTTTAGCCATATCACACGAGTGCTTGGAACCAATGCTAAATGAGGATCTAATAGCAAAGCTACTGAACAATACACTGGACACAGCAGACGAGGAATCTGTTTACGATATGCCCGATTATCCGGATTTGGATGCTGATATTTACGCACTAAAGCCTAAGGAATATAATAATTCACATGAATCTGAGAATAATTTAGCTGATATATTTGAGGCCAGGCTGCCAGCAAACTTATATATGACGGACTTCGAGAAGGCGTTTTAGGGAATTTCGACTTTTGTTAAATCACGTTTAGAGCTTAAGCTATAAAACTATTGTCTGCAGTACGAAATATTTGTGGTTTAAACCAAGTCTATAGTTTGTCCACATATATATATATATATCTATTAAAATTTGTATTGTTTCTGTCTGAAGATATGTTTTTGACCAAATTTCTTGATTAGCTGAATTCTCTGTCCTTTTTTGATCGACATATTAACTTGAGCTATGTCAGTAAGAAATCATTAACCGATAAGCTTTGGTTTTTCTTGGAACTTAATGATACATCTATTTGTATCTTTTGTTTCCCAAGATTATCATTGATTGCCTAAGTCTTTGAATTCGATTTAATACATCATTTACCTGTCATGGGAATTTGTTGTTAAATATTGAAATTGGAAAACTTCAACAAGGGTTTTTTTTTTCAAATAATGCCCGAATATTTTTTTCTATTCAAATAAGGGGAAAAGTTGACAGACAAAATATTTCTATATGTCTACAAGGTTATTTTACCTAAGGCTGCCCGACATTTTTAGAATTTAATTTATAAACCTTTTATAAAAAGGAAAACATATTTGGGACACCTTAGAAAAATATATGTACATCTATGTCTTGAAAGGTATTTTGACTAAGACCATTTTTTAAATTTATAAAATGTTAACTAGTATTTCATATTTATGTAATTTTACAAAAGTAGTTGCTATCCATGTCTGCAAGAGCATTTTACCTATGGAACCCGACTACATTTTTCTACTTATAAAATCTATCTAAATAAGAGAAGAGTGCGGTTGCCTCAGATTAAAAAATATCTGTGTATATGTCTGCATAGGTACTTTATCCAGGGCAGCCCTTTTTTAATTAAGAAACATTTGATAAACATATAATTGGATGCCCTTAAGATAGAGTATATTAAACTAAGTATATATATGCAAGGGTATTTTATCTAAGGAAGCTCGACTTCTATTTGCTTTAGAAAATGATAACGAAGATTAAAAAATTATATCCATACGTATTTTAGAGAATTTACCTAAGGCATCCTTACTATTTTTTTATTATATACTAGCGGGTATAACCCGGCCTTGCCCGTGGCACGTATGTTATAAAATCAAAATAGCTTTGAAAATGATTTTAAAACTGATCGGACGGGAATCAAACAACTTTTATGCAAATCGGAAAACTCTTAAAACTCACCAAAAAAATCTTTGAAATGCATTTTCCACCGAAGGAGCTTAGATTTTGCAAAAAGTGTGAAACACGTCTCAAATGATTTTTCGTATAGATCTTTGGAAATAAATTTGAACACAAAACGTCATCCACCAAATCTTCGACCCCCATTTGCACCAAGGAGGACCGGATTTTTCGAAAAGTGTGAAACACCCCTTAAATGAATTTGAACAAAGATCTTTGAAAATAAGTTTGGGGCCGATCGGATGGTAAACAAAAAACTTTCATACAACCGTTTTCCGCCAATTTACCACTGTTGCGGGTGGAATTTCCCAAATCGCTGTAATACGTATTTATTAAGTTCTTATGTAGAGCTTTGAAAATAAGTTTGAAGCAAATCGGACACAACTTAAAACTTCGCCCAAAAAATCTTTAAATCGCATTCCCCCCGAAGAAGTTTGAATTCTGCGAAAAGTGTGAAACACGTATCAAATGATTTTTCTAATAGATCTCTGGAAATGAATTTGAGTGCGAAACGTCACCCACCAAATCTTTGACCTCTATTTCCACCAAGGAGGAATGCATTTTTCAAAAAGTGTGAAACACCCCTTTAATGAATTTAAAAATAGATCTTTAAATATGAATTTGGGGCCGATCGGATGGTAAACAAAAAACTTTCATACAACCGTTTTCCGCCAATTTACCACTGTTGCGGGTGGAATTTTCCAAATCGCTGAAATACGTACTTATTAAGTTCTTATAAAGAGCTTTAAAAATAAGTTTGAAGCAAATCGGACACAACTTAAAACGCCGCCCAAAAAATCTTTAAATCGCATTCCCCCCGAAGAAGTTTGAATTCTGCGAAAAGTGAGAAACACGTCTCAAATGATTTTTCATATAGATCACTGGAAATGAATTTGAGCCCGAAACGTCACCCACCTAATCTTTGACCTCCATTTCCACCAAGGAGGAATGGATTTTCCTAAAAGTGTGAAACACCCCTCAAATGAATTTGAACAAAGATCTTTGAAAATAAGTTTGAGGCCAATCCGATGGTAAACAAAAAAGTTACATACAAACGTTTTTCGCGATTTTTTCACACTTGCGGGTGGAATTTCCCGAAACCCCGTCTTAACGTGCACCTACATCACATAAGGTAGCTACAGTGAAAATTTCAGCTTCCTAGCTCTTACGGTTTGGGCTGTGCGTTGATCACCAATCAGTCAGTCAGTATATATTTTATATATAGAGATACAATGTTTCTAAATAGAAAAAAAAAGGGTGCCTTAGATAAAAATATCTTAATGTATATATATCTGCAGTTTTTATTTAGAAACAAAATTTGTTTATCAATATATGGTATTTTATTTGAGGCAGTCCGAATAATTTCTCTAATTTATAAAAATAGGAAAATATAGTTGGGCTACTTAACGATTTAACCCAATTATTTTATTTGATTTTAAAAATGATAAAAACAATATACAATTATATGTCCTTATGTGTCGCCAGGTTTTATTATCTAATACAAACCCGACTGTGTTTAGTTTTCGAACCCTTTCCCAACTTCATAAAGAAATCGTAAATTCCGTATTATATATAATGCCATTGTATTTGATTAGTTATGGACTTGGCTTAAATCAAATGTCTTGACTTTTCGCTTAATTGTTAATATTAGGTCAAAGGGTGAACAAAGGATTTGCATAATACACAATTGAAAAACAAACACAAATTTCATACTGGAAATATACAAAAATAGGCTTACATAAATAAAAAACAAAGAGCGGAGGGGGGCACACAA